ATCACGTTTTCAAAATATACGGATTCTTCAGCATAGGTATTAAATTTTGAACAACGCCAAGGAATAAAATTCGAACATTTATTTTTATTTTTATTGTAATTTATACACTAGGTCAATATATAACCATTAAATGCAATTTTATGTCTTCGAATTGTTTCGATTAAATCCATTTTTAAAGACGCTGTGTAGTAAACCAATACTATTTTAAAAAGTTATTGAATGCAGATTCTTTGCAGTATACCATATATTATAATCACTTAGACACATTTTTATTGTAACAAATCGAAACAAGGATATTCAAATCATAGCTACATTGGGAAAATACTTCTAATTTAATATATAGTAATTAATAGTAATATATATATATATATATATATATATATATATATATATATAATATTATACCTTTTATTAAGTAAATATTATTAAAGTTATTAATTATAAATTATAGTTCAGCAAGTATATTAGTAGTTTATTAACTTTTATATTGAGGATTTTTTCCACAATTTAATAATTAAAGCGTTTTCAGTACGTTTATCGTTTAACATAAAATTCGGATTGTACAGTGTAAACATGAGTATAATACTATAATACGCTTAGTAATAACGTTTAGTTTAATAATTTTCATTGTCGTAATAGCTTCTTATATGTACATAAGTACCTAAATGCTTTTTAAGTTCATAATGGAAATTAAAAAAGTAATATTAAAACACTTAATATGAGGAAAAAAGTGTTCAATTAGATTTAACAAGTATCGATTACCTATATAAAACTCTCAAATAAATTAAATAAATAATATCTTTTTTAAAAGTTTTACTAAATAAATTGAAATTGAAATTTCACTTACAATTTATACATAAAAAGCAAAGAAATTATTAATTCATTAATTTTATTTTTTCCCCATACAAAGCAATCTTTGTCTCACTCAAATAATCACTAAAAAATAGTACTCGTGTTCAAATGTACTAAAAAAGTGAGCTCAAACAACCCATGGTAATTTTAGGGTAAAAAAATGTCACCCGAGCTCAAAAACGGGCAACGCCCTCATTATTATACGAAACAGTTTCTCCGAAATAAAGTTCAATCTTCTGTCGCCCGCATAGAATCAATTGTTTAGACCTTGGAGGCTTAGCCATTGTATTCATAACATTAGCTATTATGTAATATATGACTTTTAAATAAACAATATAAAACAGACAACAAACAACAGTATATTATTAGAACATTATTTAGTGTAACTACAATAATTTTTTAATATTGTGTGGTTGCTCTGTTAAGACAATTGAGCACTGACTACTGAGTGGTGTAAAATAATATATGAAAAAGAGGAGCACATTCAACACAAACACTGTTTCCCCCACTTTGTTTTAGTGTTATAAATTCATTTTTTGTTTAATAAGCGTTGATTAAGTACAGATTTAAACAATAGCAGAGATACTTGCGAAAATGTATTCAATAAAATAGTATAATATCATAATATATCTATTTATCTCTGATTTTTTAATCGATTTTTATTTAAATAAAAATGTAACAATGAATATGAATACAATTTTAAATATTATAAAACACCCGAGTATATAATATTAATGTTCCTAGACAAACAATATTGTAATATTTTATCATTTCACGTCAAAAGAGACGTTTAAATTATTTAAGTGAATTTGTTGATATATTTACGCTTACCTACGCGTAACTGATTGAATGATTTTTTTTTGTTTTTTGCAGTACATATAATACACTTATTATTCATGATTATTATATCAAAAACGAACTTCCATATTATGCTCCGTCCCTTATACTCGTACGAGTATCTAATACTAGACGTAATTCAATATTGTTGAGTGGTGACATTGACATAATATACCTAATATACCTATGGGAAAATTCAAAAGTTTTCATTTAATTTCAAAAATTCATATTCACTTATGATGATGTGTGAAATGAAGTAAAAAATATTCTTAAAGTAATCAAGTTTCGATATAGTGCATGTTACAAATGTTCAGTATAATCCAACTATCCGTCCAGCGACCACATATATACTATATCTCTATATGACTATATGTTTTATAAACTATAATCTATTATTCTGTACGATATTCAAAATTTAATATATATATATTTTGATATACCATCATCTCGATACTAACCGATGGTAATTTTCGATTATTACAAACGCTCACAACACACGTAAAGTGACGAAAAGAATAATAAAAAAATAACCAATTATTTCATTAAATATGACATTTAAATATTTAATGCAACACAACTAACATGTATATAGTACAAAAATATGCATTGTACATGACAACAGTCCACGTCATCGCGTGATTAGTAGCAAAATATCGATTATAATAAGTAACCAATTTACGACAGAAAACGTTGAGTTATTGACAAAAAAATAAAAAATTTATCAAAATATTTCATGATATGGAAAAATCAACATTAATGACCCATAAAAATAACGGAAAACTGTTTACGTTGTTGATCGCTCTAAAAAGTAAAAACCAATTTATCATTATAAAAAACCATGTTTAAGTTTTAAGTACAGTTTCACGTTATTATTCTTGACAAAGTTTGTGTAACCACACTTAAAGAAATATAAACTGAATAGTGAATACAAAATATTATAAGTAAACGTGATTACAGTTTACAAAGGTATCACAGAGTTCAATTCAAATGTTAATGTTTTTCTTTGACGCGTTTAGAATTTTGTTTCATTATTCTAAAAAATAATCAAATTAAGAGGATTTAAAATAATATAATATCGATTTTTTTTTTTTTTATTAGCTTCAAGTAATAAATTATTATAGCTCAACAATTAGAGAACACTTTAAGAATAATATCGATTTTATCATAAACATTAAACAGATTATTAGATTTATATATATAAACATACATTTTTTTTTTTTAATCTACATATGCTAATCAATTACTTAACATAATACGTAATTATTATAATGTAATAATTTCATCATATTTCAAAAACTTTGAATTCAAGACTGTATTATAATACAAATATAATATTATTATTATAATTCAAACTTAAATTATATAATTTTGTTTTACTACAGCACTTTTAACGTATATTTTGTACATATAAAATGCCAAAAAAATATTATCGTATAATCATATCCTTTAATAATTTTAATGATAATTGTTAAAAAATAAGTGGCAAAATTGTTATCAATAATTTATTGTATTTACGAGAAAATATTAATCTAATTCCGTAATTAGCCTTGAAATAAAAATTAAATACAAAGAATCAAAACAAGTATATACCAGTAACCTCATAAAATCTATAAAATTAAATTTTATCCAAAATATATACATATTATGATATGGATATAATTATATCTAAAAATCAAAAAATATAAAAACTAATATTCCGTTAAACAGACAATTGGTTGTTGATTACGTCGTAATAATAATTAATAATCGTACATTAACTCTCAACATTGTACTTTTGTGTACCTAACTATAAATGAGTATAATATTATTAATATTATATTGTGTAATCAATATTATGCCAATATGAATAATTCTTTTTTTTTCATTTTTATATAACACCTACATGAAAAAAAAAAATTCTAACGTGTGTTACGTAATTGATAAAAATAAAAAATAAAAATAAATTACGACAGTTTATAATTCAATAATATGTTATAAATTATAATAAATTCATCTTAGATTATCACGAACGGTAGCATTATGCCATAAACGTATGCATAATAATAATGTAATATTAATCGTTTCGAATCAATATAATACGTATACGCTATATCCATTGTAATATCGATATTACATGCGTGTAGTGGAATATTATCTAGGATTTCATCAAGGGGTTTTATCGGTGGTATTTACGATAAATCCATCGTATCATCTTCCTTTTCATAAATACGCCTCTGCTCTGCATTCGTGTATGATGGGTACACCTATATTGTTATAATACCTAATATAGACTTTAATAATACTATGCCGCTGTACGTGTCATGTCGGATACATTGCTGACAGTCCAGAATTTAGGGGATTTTTAGGGAATCAGTCAAATAGTTTTAAAGAGGCTGTAAATGTTAACTTACGATAAATTTTATATTTTTACCTAATACAAAATAAGATAATATGGCTACATGCCTCTACGTGTGTATTTTGTGTATTTTTATGTATTTATTCTGTTCAAAGAAATCAAATAAGTAACATCGTAAATGATGCATAAACTATACAGAATTTATTTTAAGAGGAGCTGTTCAATTATGTAGCATTAAAAGGGTGGCAAACGTCCGAAATGTACAGAGCGGAGTGAATGAATGGTGTACGGTAAAAGGTCTTATAAAGACACGGTCAGAGAGCGCACATAATAATAAATTATTATTATGATAATAATACGTAGTATTTTCGGACAAACGGTCAGACTTTTCTAGGTACTTATACCGAATAACTCCGAACTAGGCAGCTGCGAAGTCTGGCCGCGAAATGCTTCTGTACTGACAATAACCAGCTCATTGTTGTATTAAACACCGCGTATACGACAAAAAAACAGCGCATAAATAATATTTTATTAATAACGGTGATGTTGGTGATGAAATAATTTCAATAATATTGCAATAATAATGATAGTCTCTGTCTCTCTGCTCGTGTATATTAATTTCTTAACAACGTTGGTATATAGCGACAGGATCATAATATAATTATAACCACAAAAGTATTATATGTTATTTCGACGAGACTGCCGATATTAAATCCATGAACGATAGATGAACAAACAAAATCCAAATGAGCCAAATGTGACCGTCAAAATATAAAAAAAAATTCTTGTAAAACGATATGAATTTATAATAATTTATCATTACTGTTATTATTATTATTATTATTATTATATTATTATGCATTTTCCGTCAACCCTTTTTGCATCGTCTCGACTAGTCCACCGGTTGAAACGCTAGCGCTCAACTCACGCACGCGCGCTGTATTTATTGCATTTTATTATAATGTTATAGCCGTTCCGTTTTCTCTCTCCACTCGGCGGCACTCGCGCCACCACACTCGGCCGCCGACGACGACGACGACGACGACGACGTTCGACGTTCATTTGGCTCGCGTGTGCCGTACCGGTCCCGGTACGGCGGCAATCGTCGTTCTCCGCGTCACACTCTTGGCCGCTGCGGTTCCCGATCACTGTGTCTGCAGCAGGACTCTCCAGGACTCTCCAGGATTTCGTCCGTCGTAAGTATCTTGCGCTTTCGATATCGTTTTAGTTATTATAAAATAATATTATCGCCGTCGTCCCCGAACTCACACGGTTCTCTTTTACACGTATAAACGCGCGCGTTTCACACATGAGTTCGAACTACGTGTCATATAATTGTATATTTTATAGTATCGGCGTTTATTACGCACTCGAAAAAAAATTCACATTAATTTTATACTCCGTGGTAGTATGACGTCGAATTTCGGACTCGGGAGCGAAACACTCCTCGCCCCTCCTCTTCCTTCTCCTTTTATGTGGGCACATTTCGCATTGATCAAGAGTTCTATTTGGTGCCATCGTTACATAGCAAAAATTGTGAAACGTTAAAAAGTTAATATTTCGACAACAATTAAATATATTAATAAATTGTACATATTATTTTTTTTTTATCATCAATTATTATATTACGAACCATTAGTATACTTCTTTGGCGATAACGGTTTATATATATATATATATACATAATACAAATATTATACAATTTCCCGGGTGTCTATCTTTAACTGTTAAAGATCATTGGTGATACGATTTAGATAAGTCTGACCGTGGACTATAATAAGGAAAAAAAATCATAATAGCGAAGTACTACTATACTTAGTTTATTATTAAAAAAAAAAATTATCGTGTATCTAATTATTTGACGGTTAGTTTATTTTCGCGCTCTAATGATGTCATTGTACCTATATCGGATTATATATAATGATACATTATATAACTGTTGAACAGTAAATATTATTTTTTTTCGTTAACGACCATTTCCTGTCCATCATTATAATATAACAATGTTATGTCGTACGAGTCTACCTACAACGGGTACAACTGGTACAAGCTCGCACGATTTTAAGATAATATTCAAAACTAAGAGATAAAATAATCGTCCAGAGTTGGTCATCACTCGCCGAGTATAACGCTCACCATGGTATAATGCAGTCAATTCAAACGTTTATTCAATTATTTCAAACTACATTAGTAAGAGCATACATGGACGGTATGAGTATACGACCATATTACAATATTGTTATTGCCATGCAAGATCATTGATCCAATCAACCTAGTGACCTTATACACATTATATTATATTGTAGTATGTTGAACGTTCCAATAACGATACACATCGCTTTGTATAAATTAATCCGCGCGCGTTTAATTTTGTTCGCCTATTATGGCATTTTGTTTTCTAATGCGTCCGGCCACGAAATTAATTTATCTTGGCAACGACGGTTAGACCGTTCGGTCGTTAACGGTGTCGATAATAATTATCATTCGTCGCAGCTGCGCCCTTTCCCGAATTAATTTCTATACCACGTCGAAAATCGAGTTGTATTGTACCTATGCTGCAGTGTATTATATACAATATTATATCCCCTAACACCCTGCTCGCGTCTTCCCGTTCCAGCTACAGCGTCTCTCCCTCCCGAAACAATCTTTAAACTGGAAAAAAAAACATAAACGAATTTCTAAAGTTTTTATGAAACTTACCCGAAGCGCATGGAAGTTTGATATCTGCAAATATAAGGATAAACGACTCCCGTTTAAAATCCCATCATCCATATTTGATTGCGGTTTAGAGTTAGTGGTATACTTTTAGGGTAGAAAAACGTAGACATTTTTATAACACAATATTTTATCATTAAATCATGTTGTTTTATAGATATATTTCCCGCGTTCAAATGGCTATACAGGTTAAGCGAGACTTCATAGAAGTCAGTTATTATTGAATAAGTAAATTTGTTCACAAAAAAAACTATCAAGGTTTTCTCTATAAAAATCGATTACTTACAAATTTACAAAAACTAAAATTAAATTATATTTCTTATAATACGAACCGAGTATAATTTATCTATACCTATTGATTTTTAAAAGCAATTTCAATAATTGTATTGGTATGTATACTAAGATAACAAATTTTTCTACTGCAGAGGTCGTCGCGCTTATTATTACATACTAATCGGTTCCGAATAAGTAATAATATTATAATTTATAAGTATCAAATTATTACATTTTAAATATAGTTTAAATATTATTTTATGCTTGATGTCATTGATCTTATAAAATAAAACAATAGAAGGAACATAGCTTATGAACCGAAGCTCCGTTTTAAAACATAGTGTTCAATTACGTGCCATATTTTGAAAAATATTATTATGATTTTAATATAAAAAACTCAAAACCTATCTCAAAGAGTTACACGATATAAATTTCATTTCTACATTTTACGTTAACAATTTTTTACTTATTAGTTATTACTATTTATTTAGCTTATTCTTTTTTGTTATTTAAATAAATATTTATCATGATATAATATTTTTATTTATCAATCAATATAATATCTATGCTTTGTTTAAACTTCCGTAAAGTATTATTTTGTAATTATTTTGATTATTAACCGAATTTTGAGCTAAAATCAACTACAAAACAATACCATAGTTTTAATTACTGAATACTAATTATATGTCAAACATATTTATTGAAATAACAATCGCCATATTAATTGGTAGGTTACAGTTAATAATTAAAAAAATACTTCGGTCGCATAATAATTAAAGTCGTATAGGTAATAACGTTACCGGCATTTGTGACAACATATTTTGTTAAACAATGTTCGTGTTACATTAAATCACATTATTGAAAGTGTTTTTTGTCACGATAAAATATGTCGGAAAACTTAAAAACAAAAATATTTTAAGCCTTTATTGTGAACTTAGACTACAGGATAATGACCTAGTGTCAAGTATAATATATGGTTTAAAATGGGATCCTTTATCGAGTTTTTATTCTTTCTTTTTCTTTTTTTCTTTGATAGAAAGAGAAGAGACAATATTGGAATGGCTTTTGTAATTTTTTCTGGGTTACAGTGACAGGTAGTCTCGCAAAGTAATTAAAACGTTTGCTCATTTTACAAGTCTGACAAAAAGCTACAAACAAATAAAGGGCAGAGGAAATTGAATAGTTTCACTTGTGTTTGACAATAATTAATGACAATACCATTTTGTAATTTTTCTGTTATTATTATTACTATTATTATTATTGCTACATTATAAATTTCCAAATCGTTCGCAAATATTATAATATATTACTGACCATCAATATATTTTATCATCTGTCTGCATACACATACACATAATTATAATATATGTAGGTACAAGTATATATTATTTACGATCTACCAACATATTATTTCGATTCACTTGGACTTGCGACACACAAAAAACATAATACAATGCATTTTACAGATGTTACCCTGCAGGAGGGTCGTGTTGCACACGCCCGTCTGCACCTGGAAAACTGTAGTCTTAAATATTATTTTTATTTGTGCGTGCACATGAATGCAACTGCATGGGTACCGAATTTCGCAACCCCGTTAAATCGCTGCACACGTTACTGTAAAAAAAAGATTTACTCAGTTGATTTTTTATCTCTTTTTAGAAGCGGTTAATTAAAATCGTATTTTTACCTTTTTTTTTTTATTGCTGCGCTATGCTGACGAATACAACCGGCATTCTTGTATAATCCCTTCGGTCAAGTCACCAACTCGTGTTTAATTCTATTCTAAACAATTCGTTTGATGTGTTTAACTTTTTCATAAAAGCTGGTTGACCGTTTTTATCTCGTAACTTTTTTTTCTGAAAGTTTGTGGAACTGTAAATTATATACGGCAAACTGCATTATATTCCTGCGGTGAATTCTGAATAGTTATACAATATGTATATACATGTTCGGGTGGCTTTTTTCTCCGATTAATACGCACACTGCCATCCTTCCAGAATTGCTCTAAAGTTAATTAAAATTTTATTCTGAAACCGGGTTTATACGTTATACTAAACAACAATGAACCTGACTACATGCATAATGTATTTTTGCTGTGCCTCAGTAGTATCGAATTTATCCCTCTTGCCGGAAAAGCTTTTAATATTGAATTTTTATCATCACGAACAGAGCCGGCACGAGCTATTTTGCCGCCCTGGGCTAAATTATAAATGCCGCCCTATTAAAACTAAATAAATAAAAAAATTAAATAATCATATGATACAAATTATGCAATAATATTGGTTTATCTAAAAACATTTATTTTCATAGACATAATATTTTCGTCATAAACATAAAATTAAAGTATAAAATAGTCTTTACATAACACATGGATATAAATATACTAATAATATTAATACAATTATAAAATTGCGAAAGTTTTAGCTAAAATGCCGCTCGTCCAGGCCGTCCCTGCCTTCTGCCGGCCCTGGTCACGAAAACGCCCAATGGACGCGAATTATTATCATTATTACTATTATTTCCGGCTTGATTCACTGCTATACAATAATTTATCAAATGACTACGAAACACATACTGTTGCGCGGTGCATACATAAGACACGCAGCCAGCTGCAGCCATCCCTATAACATAGTATATACGTGTATAAATATTTTGCAATGTGCGGGTCGAAGGTAACCGTTATACTTGACCGTCATTTTTTGTCATCAAACGTTTGATTTATGGTCGTGCTTGTCACGTATTAATAATGTATTAAACATAAAGCTACCAACAAAAATGAAAATGTCCACCTCAACTGCTGCTAGCAATGTTGAAATGCGTTCAAAATTAAATGTCACGGTGGCGAACGCATATATCAAATTACCACTGTCACTGTGTCATACTAAAGCTGATCTTCAAATTAAATACCATTCGAAATCCCGACGGTTAATATAGAAATAAAAAAATAAAAAAACGTTTATAGCATAATATGTCGGTGTATTACAGTTGAACTTATCGAACAAAAGATAGGCCAAAGTCATATTACCGTACAATAGAACATAAATCCTTATTGTATTGTATTTCACTAATTATTTTTGACATTTACATTTCGTCGTCTTCGTTTCCAATAATCATAAATTCTAGTGTTTATAATGATAACTGGAAGTAAATATTAGGCACTTAGTTACCTATTTGATAATTAACATGATTTATAATTTTTGTTTGGTCT